CCGAACGATGATAATCATAAGGGTTAAATGGCTGATATGAAAGGGATGGCTCTGGCATGGCCTGTCGACCATATCCACCTTTGTAAATCTCGCCTGGTGCTAGATTGGCAATGTGCAGTGGCGAACGAGCGAGGCCATCATGGACTGGAACACGACCTTGTAAGCGCGGACTCATATTCTGCAGCGTCGAAGAACTGTGCAGTGCAGGACTGTATTCAGGATAGAGGGGCATCGCCGGTCGGAGGGTCGACTGGTATGACGAATCCACTGTACCGACCTCTACATCCTTTTCCAAAGAATCAGAGGAAGTGTTCGAGGTAGCCCCTTCGTGAAGGTGATTCATGATGCTCATCCTTTCAAACCGTCTCAGCTGCTGACGACGACGGACTCGCACTAGCCACGAGATAAAGGCAGAGACGGCCGCCACCCCTAATAGGGATACCAACAAAACGCTCACGACAATGCTCGCCTTGCTATGTACTGCAGGAGCCGCAGAGGTTGTAGCAGCAGGGCCTGAAGTAGTCGTGGTCGAGGAGGCGAGGGTGCTTGAGGTAACGTCCTCCTGGGTCGTACTCGGAATTTGAACAAGCGAAGCTCGAACCCTGTCAGAGTGACTTGAACTTGCAGTCGTTACTATCACGGTCCGCGTAGAAGGACGACTGGGAGGTGGAGTCGTCGGAACGATCAAGTGGGAAGTTTGCACAGTGACAGTCTGAGGACGTGGATGGACCACTGTCGTTGGAGCATCACTATACGGAGTATTGTTTGAAGGTGTAGCTTGAGCCGCAGAAGATCGAGAAGCAGCAGGCTGAGGTGGATTGCCTGCGGTCGGCCAGTCGGAATTATCAATGGTTCCGGTAGAAGTCACGATTCCCAGGTCCTCTGGACGATACGTATAAGGAATATCATCCGGAGGTGTGTCACCGATGATAGCGATATGGGGACCATAGTCGGGGAACCGCGTCTCTCCTTCTGCAGTCCCAAACGTCGGCATCGCTTGGCGCTTTCGCATCTTGTATTTTCGAATAGCGGAAGAAAAATACGGAGAAGGAAAGCGTCTGCGACGGCGATTCAAGCGGTTGTTGCCGTTGAGAGCCAACGCACCGGCACCATTTCGCTGATAGGCCATGTACGCATGCACCTCGTAATGAATATAAAAGAGTAAACGTAGCGCTCCAGGCGATAAGAAAGAATTCGAGGTTCTACCTCGAGTAAGAGTCAAGTGCAAAGGTTTGTGCAAGAGAGTCGGTCAACTTGGTCGACTCTGCCACCACGTCTCAACAGGTTCATTCACGAGAATTAAAAAGCAAAGTCCAGGTCGCGCACTCGCCGCGACCCGAGCTGTCATTAATCAAAAACTGGTAGTGGACAAATGCGCAATAGAAAGCCAACAAGCCTGGAGACAACAATGTACTGATAAAGTAGCCAATGGTGATGTGATGATGGTGATAGTATGCGTGTAAATGTGTAATGTTGCTACATATTAAGTGTAGTTTGTGTGTGCAGGGGTCGACACCGTCCTATAATTGCACGAAGGAACGTTCCTAAGCGTACAACAACAGAAAGCGGTCAAATCAATAATCAAAAGAGAAAAATGCCGCAGTCAATTGGATGGGGGAGAATGAGTCTTCGGAAAAAAGATAGCCTTGAGTGATCGATACGTAGTTCCATAACAGAATACAGGGACAGCAGTCTTGACAATATTGTACAAGCGTGAATTGGCAAGTGCAAGTTGTGTGCGAAATCGAGAGCAAAGTGAAAACGTGTTGAAACGGCACGGGAGAAAATGAGTCGATCGATGGAAGGGGAAACGAGGGGGACGCCAGAATGCATGGAGAAATGGGGAAGGGGGGTAATGTCTGCAATGTACTGCATACGAGCGCAGGAAACGTGCCTATGAATGCGAGTGTTTAAATAGTTGCAGATGCCTGGGAAAGGGATATCGGGGACTATAACTGATCAGATTGGTCAAGGGCCACAAAAAAAACTACATACTTAAGCTGATGAACTGAGAACCCACGCTTCCGTGTCATGACTCCAAAAGGCGACGGGGAATCCAGAATTTGTGTCCGCCAAATGGGCATGATAGGCGACCCTCCACTTGCCACTGCGCGCATCCCAGCACACCTTGTTGCCTACAGGAGGTAGCGCAGCACTCTCAGAGTCTTGAACATTGAGCCTCCAGACGTGCTCCTTGGCATCCCAATATGGTTGTGAAAAAGCCGACGTCGGCTTGGGGAAATGGGTCGGGACATTATTGGTATTGGTCTCTGGCGGACTGGGATCACGACGATCCACCGACATGCGGGGAGAGGAAGAGTTGTATCCAAGCTGCGAACGAGGTGGGGTGGTGGACAAGTAGGGATTATTGGGAGTGGCAGGTATACCCGACGAGGAGAGAGACGTCGTCGAAGCACTCAATTGAGGCAAGTTAAGGTGATGAGAATGCAGAGGACGAGCACGATCGTCATCAGAGTCATACATTAGAGCTCGGATTGGGGGCAGCTTGTTCACCTTTGGGTCGTCCATATCGATGTCCATGGCGGTGCTCTGGCTGAGCGGAGGCAACGTGTAACCCATCTTGGAGGTATGCTGTTGACCAGGAGAGAGGACAGTGCCCGAGGCAGCAGACGACGTGCCCAAACTGGTCGTTCGTTGACGCGATGAACCAGGGCTGGTCACTTCTTCCTCAAATTCTTTGGGAGCCGAGTTTGGCCTACCTTCACGCATCGACCCATCATTACTATCGCGTAGGGACGACTCTGGAGGCTGCTGGTACCGCGCAGTGCTCTCCACATACTCGCGAGGGCCCAACGAGTACCGCTCATCCAAACCATGGGATGAAGACGAGTATCGCGAGGGCCCATCGTACGAGGACGCGTCGGTGGTATGACGACTATAAGAGCCATGTTGGCCATAAGGGGAAGGATAAGCCGACGAAATAGGAGGG